GGTTGGTGGGGGGAAGGGGATGGGAATTTGAACTTTCCACATTGGTCTGGCGCCTGGGACGATCAGGTTGCAACATGACCTGGGCCCGGGGCCAGAGCTTGAGGGCCAAGGTTACACCGCCTCCAGCCAATGGGGTCGCGGCTGGGCGGCCACGTTGGGGGTGGGTAACACTCCCCCGCAATCCCCACCCCAGCTCCGGCTCCGGGTCAGAGCAGCAAGTGCCCGTCTGTAGCCAGTAGTTTTCTGAAGGGGAGGAGCGCCGCGGAGGAAGAGGAATATTTGCGGAGAAAAGATCAAGGCCTGCCGATCCTCCTTTATCCCCTATGGTTTTCAGTTGATAATTTATCCTGGCCCCTTCGTTCCGGGGAACTTTGCTCCAGGGCACTGGGCCAGGACACGGGTTCGCGCCCTCCCCTGGGACGCAGGCGTGGAGCTGGAGCCCGGCGGTCCGCGCGCTCCGCGACGCGCCAAGCAGGGGGACCCAGGCAGTGTTAGGCGCTCAGCTTCGCGACCCGGGTAGGCGAGTCCAAGCCTACTGGGAACAGCCCCTCACAGCCTGCTGCGACCTCTGCCCGGCCACCGCTGGGAAACTCTGCGAGCTGCACGCGCCACCCCCGTCCCCCAGGGTCCGCCCGCGGCACCCTCCTTCCGCCACCCTGGACTTGAAGTGTCAAGAACAGGAGTCCGAGCAATTGGGGGGCGGTTGCAGGGTGGACGAGAGACTGGGTTTGAACCGACGGTTGGCTACCAATTGGGACACCATGGGCGCGAGGAGTACCGCGAGGGTGCAGAAACAGAGTGGGTGTGGGCGGGGGCTGCTGGGGAGAGAGCGGAAGGCGGCAGGTGATCGGGTGGAGTGGCCTCCGAATGGAGGGTGGGATGGCAGGGATGGCCTAGGGTTCTGGGAGCACGAGGGGATGCCCTGGCATTTTTTTAGGGGCAGAAGTGTGGGGACGGGGAGCCGGGGTCTGCGGTGGGCCTACCGAGGTCGAGGTGGCGGGCAGGTGGTCCACAAGTATGGGAACCAGGAGGTGCGCCGGCTTTTTGGGCGCCAGTAGGTTGAGCCAGGGTCAGGGGACGCTCGGGGCGCGGGGAGGGGGTGTCCAGCATGTGGCCGGAGTTTCTAAGAGCAGCCGGGGACCAAGGCTCGGGGCCGAATGGGGTGTCCGGAGCTCCAGCGCGCGGTCCCACCATGTAGTGCCGAGGCCCTCGGGTCTCGGAGCTACCCTCACCTGTAGGCCAAGCTCATGCACTCGAAGAGGCGGGTGAGTGTGGGATCGATACTGCGCGGCCCGAAGTCGGCGAACCCCACGGGCCCTTCCTGGTCGCGCCGCCTGGTCAGCGAGTCGCTGTGCGGCGACGACACCATGAAGTGACCGCTGTGGATGACCTGCGAGCGGAGCAGCCCACCGGCGCTACGGCGGGTACTCGGGTCCTCTGAGTCTGTGTCTGAGTCCGAGAACGGGCTGGTGACGACCCGCGGGCCCTGCAAGCCCGCGGCCAGACCTGCCAGCGCCCCGGCCATGGCCATCGCCGCCGCCGCCTCGCCTAAGCTAGGTGGAGCCGCTCGCGCGTTCCGGTGGCCGGACTGTCCTTATTAGCATCCGCCCGGCCCCCGTGTCCCAGTAGGCCGCTGGAGGGGGCGGGACCGCGGGGCCTTGGCTTGTGGGAGCGGACAGGGCGGGGCTTAAGTTAGCATAATCCATACACCCGGTGGGAGCTCGCGAGCACGGGATCCCCTTCGAGCGCACAATTGGGAAGAGAAGGAGGTTCCTATTCCCCTCCCGAGCCTTTCTTTCTGTTGTGATCACTTAGAGTCCTCGCGGAACTGTCCCTGCTTCGCCCAAAAGGGGGTCTCAGGAAGACGCTATGATCAGTCAGTCATTCACGCCTGTAAGGGCGCTCTCTCGTGAAGCCCCTCACCTAACTGCTACCGCCCTGCCCTCTCTAATCTTCCTCACATTCACCCTCTCTCAGTCCTCCACACAGCTGGAAGCATCCACCTCTCAGAAGTTTTGTGTGGCTTCACCCATAGGAAAGTCTCAGTACCCCCAGTTCTCCATTATGGTCATCACTACACCTTCACAGAACCCCCAGAGGGTTACGTGAGTGTGAATCCTGCAAGGCTGAGCAGGGTCAGTACCAGTGGTGATGGGTGATAGCTGGCAAGGTGGAGCTTTGGTCATCCTCCTCTGGACATCCCCCAGGCTCTGTTCAGGAGCTCTGGACACCCTCTTCTCACCTACACTGAAGTCCAGTTTATGTTCCTGTTCCTGAAGGCCCTCCTCTCACCCTGAGGACACAAACCAAACTGTTTGATCTGAGGCATTCACACCTGTCACCTTGCTGGCACCTTTAACATTCCTCAGAGGGGGGGTTCTTGCCCCATTTCAATTGGGCACCAGAGTCCACAGGAGTGGAAAAACACCCAGTATCTGCAGAGGAGGAATAGCAACAAAGCCTAGTTTAAAAGAATTCCAGACTTCCCACCTAGGGCTATCCCTGGTTGGGGGCAGGGGAGAGCTGGAGGCAAACGCTAAACCCTTTGGCTTTGCAGAGGTTATGGCCTTCAGATGGTCACAGGAGGTGATCATCTGGGGGCTGTATGCTCAGAAAAGTTTCCCACACAGTGCTTTCGTCCATGGTAGGGTTCCACAGCTCCTACAATCAAATGGCAGTGCCCGAGGGCCCCTAGGACCTCGCAAGGTACAGAAATGGTTACCGAAGGTTGCCTGTCCACCCACCTATGTCCTTTGCCTGGGTACCTTATGTCTCTGCCAAACAATCACCTCACATTCCCAGGATCCCCAGCTGCTTTCTCCACCCTTTCCTTGCCCCCTTACCCTCGCTGTTCAGGAGATACATTCTCCTTGCCCATCCCTGTCAAAGTCTAGGGGGCCTTAGGTGTCTAATTATTCTGGAAAGAGAGCTATCCCTAAGTGGTCATTTTGGAATCCTGGGCACAGAGACCAACAGGGTCATGACTTATCCCTTACGTGCCTGTCTGGCTTCTCCTCTGGCCGGTGGGACCTAAAGCAGGACTGTGTGCTAGGGTCTCTGAACCCCACAGTGAGTATCCACTGTGGGGTTTCGAAAATACTTGGAGGAGGGCATGATGCCAACAGGAGCTGGTGGTCACTAGGCAGTGGGGCAAGGCAGGAAGCAGGGTCCCTTGAAATCTCCTAGTTACAGGGGCACTGGCTTAAGCAGAGACTTGAACTGATCCTTGCTCTGCCACTAATTCCATGAATGACCCTGGGCAAATATCTTCCTTATTGAGGCTCTGTCTCTCCACCTATAAAATGGGGTGTTAAATCCATTGATTTCTTAGGGTCCTGCAAATTTCACTACCCCTGGTTCTAAGTCTTCTATCGGCATCCCCAGCTCACCCCACCAAGCTTCCCTGGGCCTCCTGTCTCCAGGAGAATATATCCTAGTTGAATCTCCTGCGGTTCAAGAGAATTTCTCCTGAGCTGGGTCTCAGTAGGGTGGATTATCTCCCTCACCCTATGCCTCTCTTCTTCTCCAGTCACCATTTGGTCCTCAACAGGCATCTTTACCCATTTCTGCCCTCCACAGGGCCTAATAACACCTTTGGAGGCCTAAGCACTGAAAAGACCATGACTCCCAGTGTAGTTCAAAACAAAACACTAAATTGCACAATAAATACAATGAAGTCCACAAATTCTGATTTCTCCCATAATGACATCTTCAATGAAAATTCTATCTATCTATCTATCCATCCATCCTAATTTTTGTTTTAAAAAAGAAATGTTTTAATATCCTAACCTTGCTGGAGTCTTGAATGTGTGCTTCATCTGCCTTGTCCAACCTCTCCAATCTATCTGCTCATTTAAGAAAGGATGCATTCCTCATTCCAGACACTGTCCAACACTTTGGAGCCAGCATCTCTAACCCTACTGCAGTAAGTAATATCACCTTTACTTTACAGGTGAAGAAACAGGCTCAGAGAGGTGAAGCATTTGCTCAACATCCCCAGCTAAGAAAGGACAGAACCAAGTCTGACTCTGAGGTCAAGTCTCCTTCACCTATGGGCTGATGCCCTCTCCTCTTAAGAATGATTCTAACCACAGTGTAACTGGAGAAGTCAAACCAGCTAGTAGTATGGCGGGCCTGGCTGTGGCCACAACTGGTTTAGGTGCTCTTGCCCAGATGACAGCGCAGGCTTGTGTGAGCTGGCCCGGCTCACCCTCTTGCTCTCTTTCCCATTTGGCCTCTGTCACCCACTATCCAGTGTTTATAGCCTCTTGATACACATAAGTCTTGTCCACAGCTGTGGAGGTGCAGAATGAAGTCCTGACTGGGGTGTGAAGACCTACTTGTCCCAGTAATGCAGCCTGACACCACACTCTGCCTCTGTCCCAGTCTTAGTTCTCAGGATTTCTCCCCCAGACTGCCCCTCCATGTTGGGAAAGCTCACGCATCCTAGAAGTGCCACCTCCATCTCTGACATTTTCCCTGACTTCCCACAATGCTCATTCAGATACAACTCTCAGTTTATCTGCTCTGCGATCACCGTGAGTGGTGCACATGCCTCTCTTTCCCACTAGATGGCAAATTCCCTGAAAGCAAGTAACATCTTATAGACCATTTTTCTCTCAAGTGTAAATGCGCAATTGAGTATTTGTTGAACGAATGAGTTTACATTATATCTACCTACTAAGTGTGCTCTATTCATCTATCTATCCTTCTATACACACACAGATAACATTTATTAAGTGTATATTATGATCCTGTCCCAGTGCAAGGTATTTCGCTTTTGCAAAAGTTAAAAAATATAGAAAAGCTGATTCAGTACTTTTAAGATCCACAGAGACAGAAAGTAGACTAGCAGTTGCTGGGGGTTGGGAGTAGCTGGGTGTGGAGAAATGGATATGGAGTTTCTTTTAGGTAGTGAAAATGTTCTGGAATTAGATAGTACTGACGGTTGCACAACTCTGTAAATATACTAAGAGCCATTGAAAAGTGGTGAATTTTATAATATGCATATTATATCTCATTAAAAAATTAGGCACTTTAATATACAATTCCATTTGTTGGTAATCCTCTCCACTGTGTGTGTATGTGGGCATTAGTATTGTGTATAATTGTCACCATTTTATAGAAGGAAAATTGAGGCTCTGAGAGAGAATGTGATTCAGTGGGTTGTTGTGAGAATTAACGATAAATAGCTAACGTTTATGGCCTAACCTTATGGTCTATGGAATCTCCATAACAGCTCCATGATTTTCAACCCATTTGAAAAAGAAACTGGCTTTGCTGAAGGTCACAAGGTAAAAAGAGAACTGACATTCAGATGCAGGCAACCTGCTGCCAGCCCGCCCCACAAGCGCCTACCTTCTCAAATTCAAAGGATTGATTGTTTGTGGGGGTATGGAGAGAGCAGAACCTCATCCACTGCCACTGACAATGTAACTTGGCACAATCACTTTGGAAAACTACTCATCAATATCTACTACAGCTGAACATCCACATACTTTCTGACCTAGGAATTCCATGGAAATGTGTGCGTACGTGCACCAAAAGACATGTACAAGACTATTCAGAGCAGCACTATTCTAATTAACTCATATGAGGAACAATCAAATGTCTATTAACAGGGGAGTGGATAAATACATTGCAGTACAGTCACACTATGAATATGAACACAGCAATGAGAGTGAACAGTCCACAATCAAATGCAACCACATGGAAGAATTTCACTGACATGTTGAGCAAAAGGGTATACGCCATATGATTTCATTTGTATAAAGCTAATCTATGCTGTTAGGAGTCGGGGTTGTGTTCAGCCTTGGTGACTAAAAGAGATCAAGAAGGGGCTTTCTGGGGTGCTGTTAACATTTTGTTCCTTTATCTGGGTTCGAGTTACTTGAGTGTGTTCACAGTGCATATTCATTGAGCTGGATACTTATGATGTGTGCACTTTTTATGTGTACATTAGACCTAAACTTTTTTTAGAAGAGAAACTGAATTTGCATATGCATACACATACGAAATCAGGAAGGCTCCCTGAATCCTGCCTTGGCTGGTGGGGGTGGGTGGGTGGTGGGGATTCTTGAGAGTCAAGGAGTGAAGATGGAGAGGTGGATAGGAGAGAAAAAGAGGAGTTTTAGCTGTATTTCTAACAGGCAGTAAGTTGGGAAGTCATTTTCTTTGTCTAGGTCTCAGTTTTTGCATCAGCGAAATGGGTGAATAAATCATGAAGGAAAAATTGATAAATATGATCACATTAAAGTAAGGAAGTTGGATTGAATTAGTTGGATTTAATTAATTGTCCTATTAAAAATATGGATCTTAACATATTGGGAATGAAAAAAAACCACTTTCCTTTGCAAGAAGCATACCTTACATTTATAGACTTTCTGCTTCTATATTTTTGTTTAGTGATACTACAAGTAGCAATTCATATCGTTTGTACATTTTAAATTATGAAAATGCCAAGTCAAAAAAAAGCCCTATGTAGACTATCTCTGATCCTAATTGAGAACCACTGATCTGATCTTAATGTGAG